TCTGTTGGGGAGTGAACGGTTCTTTCCAGGGCAGGTCCGTGCCAGGCTCACGCTCGCTGCCAAGAGCCAGGTGAGGGGAGGAGCAGCCGAGCGTGATGCTGGATGTGCTCCTAAAGGCACCTTCCTCCACGTGGGTGAGGAAGCCTGCAATGAGCTGGGGGCAGCCTTCTCCCAGAGCTAGATGCCTCCACAACAGCACTAAGAGTGTATGTGCTCCGCAGTGTGCTAGGTGCTGTATATTCATACAGCTAGGGAGATTAGAGGATCGAATGATCTCTTCTGGGCTTAGAGCCTGCCCTAATGAGAAGGGAGATGCGTAGGGTGGGAGAGAGTGCACTGGAGCAGGGGGTCTCTCTCTATGGGTACACACAACAGGGCTCCAGTGTTAACTGAGGCCTGGAGGCAAAACTGTAGTAGAAATACCCACAACATATCCTGCATGTTGCCCTGGGGTCTCAGCTCTCCTGCGGACACACTAGACTGACCGATAGCTGCTTCACTTAAACACCGGGGACAGAAAGTCTTTGCTGCAAGCTGGTCCTCCCTGCCCTTCCCACTAAGGGCTGGGGAAATGCCACAATCGACACCCCCACCAGCCAGCCCAGGACTCGGGAAGGGCTGCCCTGCCTTTGGTTACCGTGTCGCTGGGTGTCTCCGGCTTTCTCGGCTCCTTCCTGCCCTGGCGTCCCTGCCGCTCGGGGTATCTGGAGTTGGGAACGAGGGAGTCGCTCGCTGCTCGGCCCCCGATGCAGAACTTCTCCACGTGCTTCTCCAGCAGAGGCCGGGAGCGGAAGCCCATGTCGCAGCTCGGGCAGCGGAAGATCCCCACGTCCATCCCGAGTGTGGCGGGAAGTCCCCGACTGCCCAACTCTCATGTGACGGCTGATCCGCGGGTCAGAGCCGCTCCAAATACCTACACCAGGGAAACATCGAATAAATGAAGGACGACCGGCATTTAGATGGCTATTTTGGTCCTCAAATTGACAGCGTAACCCTGCTACCCCAAGAGGCAGCATGCCGTTGCCACTAGCTCTCATTATTCCCCAATTTGAAACGGGAAAACCGAGGCCCTAAGAGACTTTATGACCTACTTTAGACTACAAAGGGACTTGGCAGCAGGGCTGGGATTCTAGCTTTAGTGAGTCTGAGTCCTGGCCGTGGGAGCTGGACCTCGGGGCTGGAGACGGAGGGTGACAGGCAGGAGAAGGGAGCCCTAAGGAGACAGAGACACCAGAGGAGACAATGTTAGCAGGGACATCCTTTGATTCGGGCAGAGGAAAGAGAGAGCGATTGTCTAGCCATCTGATTCTCCAGCCCAGACCCTGAGGCAGGTAAATGCTTATGGGGCTTCCCCATGTAGCTGCTGACCCTGCTCTGCAAGACCTGCGAGGGGGGTTTCTGCTGTGACCTTACCCTCTTTTTTGTTCTCCGTGTGTCAAGACTCGAAGCAACTAGTGGGCAAACCCCTCCTTGTCCTGACAAGGGGCACAGCAGCCCAGCAAGCTCCCCAAGTTCAAGGACTTGGGATCATTATAACACATTGTTCCAGGAGTGAGAGAGAGAGAGAGATTTAAGGACTGACCTGTTTGGCAGCACGGCTGGCTCTCAAGCCAGAGCTGGGCTTGGAGCTGTAGTTGCTATGTTGGTAATGGGGTGGGGCCCGCTTCGCAGGCAAAAGGACATTGCAGACAAGCCGGGCTGGGTAGCGAGGGCAGCATTGCCATGGTGGTGGCTTGTGTGTGCCTGCATTGGGCAGGGCGGGGATTTGTGACGTGGGACAGCAGGGGCAGGTGCAGCATACAGACCAACCAAATCCCTATGGATCTGATTTTAGGGACTTTTCAGAGGGCTCTGGGCACCAAAGGGAGGGGGTGTAAAGATGGTGCCTGCACCCTTGTAAATGAAACGAATGTCCAGAAATGAGACCAAGCAAACATCCTTGCTTGCTGCACAGGACAAGAACGGCCCGTGTGCAGGGCTCTGCCCCTGTGAGGTTTGGGCATAGCAAAAATAGGAGAGAAGGGTTAATAAAATCTTCGCCAGCTTCAGGGGATGGAGCCCCTTTCTAAACAGACATGCAAAGGAAAGCTTCACAGCCATTTCTCAGCGAAGTCTGCTCCACAGAGTCCACTATTCCCAGAGTATTTTGGTCTAACAGGATTGAAGCAGCCCACAGAAAATCCTGTGCCGTGGGGCAGTTTTCAATGACAAGCCCGATTTCCAGTGCCCACCCCAACAAGTTGGATATCAACTTTGTGCACAAGTGACTTAGTGCAAAAAGCAGCATCCAGAATAAGATCCCCAATGGCCACCCAGGTTCTGCTGTGTCAACTGATGCTGCAGGGGCCCACAGAGGATGGACAGGCCTGGATGGGATCACAAGGAACATGATGGAAGAGGCCAGTAAGCAGCCTGCCTTGTAGTTTTCTGTGGCAATGGTACAACAGGCCCCAAACATGTACACTGTGCCATAAAGCCCTGTTTCATATTTCAGAACAAACCTGCTCTCAAGCACCTATGAGTTAAAGGAGCACTTCAGCAGCAGGGGAATAAACGCTCGTGGAAAAGCTGCACGACGGGTCCTCCAAAAGAACATGCATCATCGTGGAAATCAGTTGCTGGCAACCTTACCCCAGAGTAAAACCTCCTTCAGCATGGGAATGACATGGCTTGATTCACCTATGTACTGTTGAGGGCAGAAATGAATCGGACCAGTTCATTCCTGCCCTCACCCATTGATTGACTCAGCGTGCCGGGCTCTAGCGGCTGCTTATAGTCCAGGGAAGCTATGTAGGTCTTGCCCTCTAGCATCAAGGGATTGATGCATGTATCAGCAGCCTGATACATGATGCAACCCTCTAAGCAGGTTGTATGTCTGTGTAGGACTGGGGCTAGAAGGAACTACCAGGCCCACAACAGCTGTCCTGGGGTGGACCAAGCCGGGGTGAGGTCACTGCACCTGTTTCTTAGGGATACCCAGTGCATCTCATTTCATTTCATCCTCTTCAGACTCTCTTCCCTTGTGTACTGCTCACATCACATCTCGTACAGCATTTGCCTGGGGCCCTACAATAATTCATTTAAGCAAATGCTGCTCATGGAGACACTGGTGAGCTACCCATCACTCGCCCCAAAAGCTGGCACACTGGTAAGCTGCTAGCCTTGCACCCTGCAGGCTCATCTTTAGTATCTAACTCGCTGCTAAATATGCATGCACCAAACCTGCCATTGGGACGACGGGAGGGTGAAGCAGCTCACCCTCCCCACTGGCACCTTATTTTCCCAGCTACTCAGTTTGAGCATCTCCGCTACACCCTCAACCACCGCCTGAGTCCACCCCCCCTTCGTATGCTCTAATGCCTACCTCTGTAAACGCTCATCAGTTCTGCGCAGTGCTCACTCCTGCCTTCCTCGACTGGGTGACCTGATCCTGCACAGATACTCTACAACCCTCTGGCGAACAGGCTGCTCTTATCACCCATCTCCTCGCTTGCTGTCTACAGGCTGCTGAGGAAGCAGGTTTGCTCAGTTAGTGCATCTGAAGATAACCTCCACGAGTCACCATGCTGTAGTGTGGAGGAAGAAAATGTAAGCTAATGCAGGTAATTCTGGGCATGTGACAGAGAGGTTGTGAACGGATAAAATTAACTCACCACATTGGGAAAAAAAATGGACACCCCCCCCCCAGCATTATATAAAGGAAGCTGTTGTCTGCTCAAACTTCTTCTCTTGAGTTTCCTGAACGCTTAGTTATCTGCCTAGAGCCTTGCCTGTGTGCAGAAACTGCGGAGGTTACGTGACATTGATTTTAAAGACATTAAACGAGACCAGCGCATGTAGACGCTCATTTTGGTTTGAATGCAGTATTGATACTTAGCTTAGTTCTGCTCTCAGTAGATTTAAATAAGCTTATTTATACCAAAACAAGGTCCACACTTTTTAACATCATTATAAAAAATAGGGTATTTTAAAAAAAAACAACCCACATCTTACATTAAACTGGCACAACTTCCATGTAGATGGCCTCACGTCTTGAAGAGCTTTAACACTTAAATCCCACAAAAGGAACTAGTTCATTAAGAGAAGCAATTAATGGATGACTAGAGAACAACAACTAGAGCCACTAGGCTGAAGACTGGTTCCAATGTGACAGGGATAAAAAAAATGCTTTCGTCAGCCTTCTTATTTCATATATCCATATTACTGTTACAATAACAGAGGGGCAATAGCACGCCAGGAGGCACAAATCTGACAGCAGTTTAGGGTACTTAGCAGATAATGCCCTCCAGGTTCCAAATAGCTACCTAAAAGGAAGTCACTAATCAGTGCACTGGTAGCGGTCTTAATGGTTCAGGTCGAGGCTGATCAGAAATGATGTTATACCAGAGCAATTAGAATTTCATATCCAATATACTGATCATCTTTCCTGATCTGCCACCCACACTTAAAACGTGCGATTGCTGCTGACGCTTCCCAAACAAAGGTGCCGGCGTACACATTCAACTCGGGAAACACAGAAACGGCTTAAAACAAAAGCTGTCTGCAAAAATCCTTTTTAACTTAATAGAAATGCCCTCGTGAAAAAGGTTTCAATGGAAAAATCTTTGAATGTACAAATTCCCTTGCCATGTGGTAAAAACAGATACCTGCACTGGAACATGAGGATCAGACAAACCAGGCAGTCTTTGCCTAGCTAGTGTATGAAATAAGAAATGAAAGCAAATGCTCATACTGAAGCAGCTCCAAGTAGAAGTCTTCTCTTTACATTTGTTTTAGAACAGCTACATGCCTGGCTGTCCTCTCCTCGCTGTCCCTTTATAAAGCAGGAATATTTTAGCTATTGTAACGTAAGCATGACAGCAAAACGCAATGTTTGTCAAGTGGAAAAACAGAGTCAGGAGAATAAAGTATTTACTTCCAGGTGCTACTAAAGCCCCACAGCTGCAACTCTCTTTCAGGAAATCTTCTCTTACATAAGAAAGACAATTAGAATTGGCAAACTGATGCAAAATATTTATTCCAAGTTAGTTATTTTTTGATGCAGTAGTTTTTCCCCTCATACAGACTCAATGTGATAGTCACTTTTTTAAATCTGTAAATAATGTTATCAAAATAATCTTAATCTTTGAAATCTCACAAAAAATTTATATTTTACAATCCACCCTGAATATCAAGGCTGCAAGAAGAACACAAACAATTCCTATATCCAAATATTTTACAGCTGTACCCAAAAAAAAAGAAAACCACAAACGCCTGGTTAAGTGATGAAGCTCCCCGAGCCGCCAAAAAAATAAAATAAAAAACTCATGTTATTAGCATTAATTTAACACAATTAGAACTTCAATAGCCATTTTGTCATTGACAATGATTGTTTTAGCACATTGTTACCGCGCAACATTATGCAATGCAGGCGGCATTATTAGAAGCTTGTTGTTGCAAAGATCAGTCCCCTGTATCCTGCTTACAAGACTGAACTTGTGCATTGCCCCAGAAGGGATTTCTGTCAAAATCTGCTAGCTGCACAAACTTCTATTAAGCATTAGGGCAAAACCAAAAGAAAAAGCTAAACAAGCCAATTTCTTTTTTTCTTTGGGATACGATTATTTCCCTTGTGCAAGAAGTATTCAACAACAAAAGAAAAACTGAACAGACTGGAGACAGAATAAACTCTGTTTAGTTTATACAACCCCAAACACATGTTGAACTATGAACTGAGTTTATTGGGTTGGTGTTATTCATTTTTTAAATTTTTTTTTGTGCCCACTTTCAGGCATCATCGTCTGAAGTTTCGCTGCTACTAGTTTCTGTGTCTGAGTCCTCAAACTCTGTCTTAAAAGTGCTTCTCCATTGGGAGAACAGGCTGGAGCTGCGGCCCTGAAGAAATCCATTCTTCCCGAATCCATTTCTTCTTAGCTAGAGGGGAAAAGAGAAAGAAAGTTGAAGCCAGGATGAAGTGTGAAGAATAAGCAGTCAGTGACAATATCCATCCTAGTTGTACATATGTATTTTTTCCACCATGGATGATTCATGATCACTTGAAAATCAAGATACACTTCCTATTACCACTTTGTCATACAGAACAGGAGTCTAAAAACTCGTTGCAGGAACTCGGTGTGCAATGGGGGTGAGGGAGAAGAGCCAGCACAGCCATTAACATACCTGCTCGGATTTAACTTGGAACTCTTTGAGCTCATCCTCAGTGAGGGGAAGGTAGTTCTCTTCATTTTCAGGATACTCCTGCCATCCCATTTCTTTTAATAATCTGGTCCATTTTTTTGGTTAAAAAAAACAAAAAGAAGTCAAAAGGTTAAAAGGAAACACAAGAAAAAAAAAGCAGGATTGGTTTTAATCAGATGCATGAGTGACTGAACGGGGATGGATGCTTCCAGGAGTTAGCCATCCAGATTTGGGAAGCACAATCTATATTTTTTTTGTTGTTGCTAAGCCTGGTGTATGCATCACACACTTCCTACTCAACATGAACATTTACAAATTTCTAATCATCCACAGCCCGGCAAACGGGTAGACTGCCTCAGCTTTCCTGTTTCCACGATAAGACTGAGTGGGTGGATGATTTTTCTTAGGGACACTGAAGGGGGGATGCGTGGCAGCTGAAAACATTAGACCTGAGCATTTCCCAAACCCTGTTACCCTGGCTCAAATCACTAGATCACACTGCTCTTGGTTACTCGAAGAAAATCTACACTTTGACACAATGTACAATTTCCCCCTGATTTTTCATGTTTTAAAAACATGAGGGACCTATCCAATAGGGACACTATGCGAAGAGAAGAGGAGACAAAGTCCTAAGCTGCAGGAAGCGCCAGCGGCCGGGGGGTGCCGCTTTCCTCCCCCGCTCAGCAGCAGGTTGTTCCCTGCCGCTGCTGCTAGCCTGGGCTCTGTGCCGGCTCCGGGCTCCCCGTTGGGCTAAACTGGGCACAAACTGCTGCTGGGACGGAGGAAAGCGCCCCCCTCCTCGCCGCTCCTGAGCAGTGTTTGCTACCGGAGTCTGGGCTGCGGCTCCTCCCCCGCCGGCTCTGTGGTGCCCAGCGTGGCAGCAGTGGCCGCGTGGAGCAGCTGCGTTGGGCAGCTCTCAAGCAGTGGTGAAGGAGCTGCATCGGAGCCTAGCGCAGCATGGGCTCCGGGCGGGCGGCCACAGCAAGAACTGCCCAGTGGGGAGGGGGGGGCAGGGGCAGAGTGCTTCCCTCTGCTTCAGCAGCAGTTTGTCCCCCACTGCCACTGCTCAGCCCGGACGGGCGAGTGCGGGGGGGTCGGGGCTGCTTGTAGTCGTCCCTGCCTGTACCGTGGGGGTGGGAGTGAGCGGGCATGCGGCAGCCAACGGCAGCTGGATGGAGCATGAGGCTGCACCAGCGGGGCAGCAGGAGCGCGGGGTCCCGGATGACCCACCCACCCCTGCACACCCCACATGATATACAAGTCAGACTATATTTTGAGCTATTATGCAATCACTTCTACATATACAGCACAAACACACACAAATCAGGACTTTTTTAAAAAAAATTAAATTAAAATACATTATTATGAGTGTTTGATTTTTAGTATACAATTTTTTTTTCGTAAGATGGCGAACCCTCTTCCCCAAAGGAGTACTTCCAGGGGCAAGGGCAGGGACGTCCGGTGGCAAAGGTCAGAGGTTAAGGGGGTGGGACTTCAAGTCCCAAGATATCGACCAGGGGGCGGGGCACTGTCAAGGGGCAGAGCTACCCATGCAGCCCTCCACAGCTTGCCAAAACTGGGTAAGCAGTCCTCCGCTCAAAATAATTGCCCGCCCCTGCCCTAAGCCTTGCCACCCACATTTGGAAACCACCTGCAAGTCAGCTGGAATAGGACCAGAGGCTCTGTCTGGTTCGCCTGCTCTAGGAAAGAGCCAAAAATCCAGGCACCCTTAGGTGGTTTATGGAAACTGAGCTAGAAGAGTGCCAGGTGAACAACAGAATTTGGATGAAATCCTGACACCAGACTCCAATGGGGCTAATATTTCATGCCTGTATCTTGCTTTCTACAATGTCTTAACTGTTCTGTAGCCCACACACCTTCAGCACAGCACAAGCCACACTTGTTCTCTGCAGAGGAATCTCCTTTCCTTCCACTTAAAGCAGCAAATTACCTCTCTTCCACCCCACAGACCCTCTTCTGTTGTCTTCTCACCTGTGTTCTGCTTCCAATGAATGAGAGAGATTCTCTCCCTTCTCCATCAAAGGGAGAGAAAGGCCGTTCTGGTGGCAATTCTCTTCCCAATTTTCCTTTGGTTCTGGTGTGCTGCTGCCCTCCACCTAAAGAAAAACAGGAGCTGCACCACATCAATGAGACACCAGCCCTTCAATACACGCAGCCCAAATCAAAGTCTCAAATACTCATCTCCGGTGACTGCTTCAAAACTGAGTCTAGGTTATCATGAAAAAGTAGATGCTGCCTGACATGGACTCGAGTTTCGTGCCTTTTGGTTCCATTTCAAGTGGACCGAAGTCCACAACGCAAGCTGCTGTTTCTGGCTGCAGAGACCAAGGAGCGGATACTGCAGAGTGAACTCCTCCCGTCTATCACAAGAAGTACCCATCTGCATCAGGACTCACCCAGTGGTGTGGAGAGGAAGTCTACTCTGCTACTGCTTGTTCTGTGGCTCTTAGGGACCATTTCAGGTCTCCAAAGCATCATTCCTGCACCTTTCTCCAGTGCTACAAATCAGCTTCCCTTTTGGAACAAGGCATATTTTCTAAAGGGGCAGTTTATTCACAGAAGCATAAAGGAGAACAGCACTGTTGTAAAATGCTGTCCCAAAAGTACTATTTAAGTGCAGACTGGCAAGGAGATTTGGAAAGTGGTTGAACATTCTTTTAAATATTGATAGTGTTCATCAGAAAAATGCCTCAGAACCGTGTGATTCTAAAAACACCACCCTTTTCCTTTGCCGAATATCTGACGTTTTCTTTTCTCATTCACTCTCCTTTGCTGTGCACTGTATACCATCTTTACTCGCAAGGAAGTACAACTATAGGGACAGTGCCCATGAGCAACTTCAGATCTAGGAGAGGCAACGTAAGAGCTGCTTCTCTCAGTTACATTCCCTACCCCCATTTTAGAGAAATGATGAATAGTTTCCCCCCACCCCCCAATAAAAAATGTTAAGACAAAAGGTTAAAAAGTGTGGGTAACACAAAAGCACAGAAGAGGTGTGGGGTAGGCACACATCAACATGCAACATGTTGAACCCTCCTGCATTTCTATTCGGTATTCTCTCCCCCTAGTGACTGCAGCCCAGGAAGCAGGATTTAAACTATTACTGACAATTCTCTTTAAGTAAGCGATTAGCTGGCAGTGATGCAGTCATCTCTATTTGTGAGGCAAGCGCTTGGAATTAGGTTCCCTCCTGCTTGAAGTAAAGGTCTGACTATCGTTTCTGTGCAGAGATCCTTACGACATGCAATGCCCAGGGAAGTAGAGGGGGCAGTTTTCTTACATCATCCAATTTGTCACATTCTCTGTTCTCTGTGATCTCCCCATTCCTGTCATCTTTCAGTGCCTTCAGGAACTCGCTCTTCTTATCGGTGGGACGGCGCATCAGCTTTGTCAAGCGTGAAGAAGTGATCTCAATGGGAGGGGTGGTGCTGGAAGGACTCTGGACAGAGAAGGTGGAACACACATTAGAAACATTTTTTAATCCATTCCTGAAAAGCTGGCTCTGCTCATAGTTTGGGTTTTGTTTGCAACTTTTAATACCGTGACCAAGAGCTCCTGATCTGCTTGAATTGCCTGCAAGAGATCTCCTTTCAGATCTCCTCCAGAGTGCTTGGCTGCACTGTTCCAAATCGATTCCTCCTTCTCTCACCAGCCTGGAAGGCGAGTCTCCCAACAAGCCTTTTCATCAGTTCTGCCACTGTTTCTTCTCCTCTTAACTCATGCTGTCATGGAGCTATCACACTTGTCTTGCTCCTCACTTAATACACCGCCTGATGATGTGAGCTACCCGTCCTGGCATCACTTGAGGTTAATTCAGTGCCCCCGCCAGGAATGATGCAGGAAT